AATTTTCTTAATTAGTTTAAGGGATTTTAACTTTAATTCGTATCGGATTGTGAGACACGGGTTTTATCTTTAAGCTATTCTTAATAATTCAAGTATTTTTTGTTTCTCTAATTCTATTTACTTATGTTTGCATACATCATTATTTAAAGAGCTCATTAGTAGATTGTCTATTGTAATTAATAGCTAACTAACTTTTTTTTTAATCCATAATTGTTATGAAAGGTTTAGTACAAGTAGAAATTAGGTTTTCATGATTATGATCCTTAAGCTTTGTAATTACATAACGGAAATAAAGAATGAATTAAAAAAATTTAAGTGTTTTAAAATTGTTATTTAGTCTTAACTTCATAATTTATAATGCTATTATTAATTTAACTAGGATTGCTTAACACTAAAATCGGTTAATAATAAGAATCTAATTTGGATGTTGGATTTGAATTAAGAAATGTAGGAAAGATTTAGGTTTATCTAGCATCTCGGTAATTTAGGTGAAATATTTGATCGGATGATAATAATTTAAGTGTTTATGATCAATCTGCGAATGGAATGTGTGATTTCTACTTGAACCGAAGTTTTGCTAAATTGAAAATTTTCCAATTCTACTTGCTATTTTATTTATGATTTTGGTTTTTTTTATGCAAACAAACCCTCCCTTTAATCTAAGTAAACTAATTTGATCATCTAGTCTTTAGGATTTGACCCGAACTTGTCATATAATGTTTGTCATCTCGAAGTCTTACTCGAAGAGTCATGACCGGACGAGGTCACTAATAAAACCTAATTCTTTCATTATCCTTGAAATTTGTTCCTAATTTAATCTCATTCATCATTAAACATATCAATAAGAACTTGTCATTAATAATATAACCACATGATCATCTCATTAATATAGCAGACACATTTTGTTAAAAATTTATCTATACTTTATCTCAATATCCTTACCACAATTCCTTATTATCATTTAACATTCATAAATAACCTTAACCTACTATCATGCTTAGTCACTATGCAAAAATTTCCAACATTTAAAAACCTAACCTTCTCACAATTAATATTACTAAAAACATTCATGAAATTTAAACAGATCATACATAAACTCATATTCATTCATTAAAATATAACTCATTCATCATTTCCTTAGAGACATTCTAGGGTAAGCACATGAGTCATTGATCACGAAAAACAACATCAACATCCTCAACATTTGCATCAAAACCTACAATATAGAACATATGTGAGATACGAATATTCTAATAAGTATAATATTATATTAAAATCTTTCATTACATGAATGCCTTTAAAACTCTTTTACTCATTTAGGCTAGCTAAAAGATGCTAACTTAGTGCATAATAACTCTTAGGTTTGACTTTTCCTCTATAAGTGAGTTGTTTCACCGTGGCCACTAATCTAGTAGGGTCTAGCCTAAATGAAAACATATAGTCACATTAACTAAGCTCAATATTTAACGATCAAGCCTTAACTTTTAAACTTCAACATTTAAGCCTCAATAAGCATCTCAACATTAAAACCTCAACACTAAACCTCAACATTTAATTTTTATCTTTAGTATTAAAACCTCAATATGCATTTAAAATATTTTCTATAATAAAACATCATGTACATATGCACCTCATCCATTTATTTAAAACATTTTATTTCATCACAGTTAAAATATAAAACATGTGTATGTATATGAATACACCTCAAAACCATCACATCACATCATTATGTCTATGGTGTAAGCGATAACTTACTTAAAGTTCTTTAACTAATGTCTTCACAAGTTAGAAAACAATAACCATCCGCAACATCAAATTAAAGTTATGTTAAATTTTTTTTTAAAAAATGAAAACTTCGAAGCACTTAGCCAAAGGCTCCTAGAATTTTACTAGTTAAGGAAGTGTTATGGTTCCATGTCAACGATCGCGTCATAGATCTATATATAGGGGAATCCTCTCTCTTTTCCTTGTTTTGGTTCTTTCCTTTCCTAGAGAAACATATTTTGGCCATTAACAGTGGAGGTTTGTCCTTAAGAGACCTCTAAACTATCCTAAATATTTTTTGCTATAATTTATTCAATAGCTTTATTTAGAAAGCATCCGCTCTTTATATAGTAGAAGCAACAAAAAAAAAACAATCCTAGTAGGCTATTTTCTAAAGAAAATCATACTAGAATAGAAAGTCTTAATGAAAATATCAAACTAATTAGGACTCTCATATCTTTTCCTAATCTAACTTATTCTCATAATTAATAAATAAAAGCAATAAATAAATATCCTTAACATTTTAGTTTCCCTATATGCTTTGTTCCCTTCTTCTATAGGACCGACTCACAAATGCATTGGTAACATTACACCCTTTTTAGACATTGACCTTGTTCGCAAGTTCGAAATAAAGATAAGAGTCCTATAAGGAAGTGATCATTTCTTACATAGCATCATCGGAGTGTATTCCTAATCCTTATTATGGCATGGAGGGAGATTTCAAGATCCATGGTAACTCTAGTTCCTAGTCTAAGTCCTCCATCATTAAGCGGAACAAAAGTTTACACTCATCGTCCAACGAAAGAAGGATTCATCACAATTACAACAAAGTCCCTTTGCTTGCCTCTTTGCTATCTCTCGCTTTTGATAACTTCTTCATGAAATGTGTTGATGTATTTCCCAAGTCAAAAACCATGGGCAAACTTCCCTCACCTATTTTGATTCATGATTAATAGTGAGTGAAAGAGTCGAACCTTTTATTTTTGGGGGAAACTAGTTAAAATGAGTGTTTCTCACTCCAATTCCATCGAAGAGTTACAGACTTTCTATTGAAAGCCCGATTTAAATTCATAGTTGTAATCGGATTAAGGGATCATTGCATCTCCACATCAACTCATAGTGCCTTTGTAAGTCTAGTGGTAAACAAATCAACTTATTGATCACCCTTAAGAGAAATAGCTTTAGCTAGAAGGGTCCGGAATTGACTCTAATACTCTTCCACTTTTTTCCACTTATTTGAGATTAGTCAACTCTCCTAGTGAGTTACCACTCAAAGGAGGTCCAAATTGTAAAAGATAATAAGACTTAAATTGATCCTAAGTGAGTTTTGATTCCTCTAGTTCACGTGCACAAACCATAATTGTGTCTCACCTATCATATGGAAAGTCGTTAAGCCAACCTTTTCCTCCTTCCTTATTCTCTTATTAAGAAAAAGTTGCTCATATCGATACAACCATCCTAACAAGTTCTCTATGCTATTATAGGATGGAAATTCCAGCATGGAATATCTAAGAACAATAGATGTCCCCACACGCCTTTTGTGATGTGCCCACGGGGTTTGGTTACCTAGTGGTTGTTATTGCCGGATCCACCCTCACACTTTTGGGACTTACCCATTCCCAAAATCTACAATTCTAGCATCTATTGAATGGCCCTCATACTCTCTCTCAATTCTTGCAGCCTCCTAACCCATCAATTTATTGGATTCAACCATTTGATGATCCGGATCTTATATCCTTGTTAACGAGTTGCTTTTAATCACCAATGATGATAGGCTTTGGTACCAATTTGTTGTGGTCCTACGTCAAGGATCACTTCATACGTCTACATATAAGGAAATCCTCTCTCTTTCCTTTGTTTTGGTTCCTTCCTTTCCTAGAGAAACCTATTTTGACGAGTAATAATGGAGGTTTGCCCTTAAGAGACCTCCAAACTCTTCTAAACCTTTTTGGTTATAAGTTATTTGATATCTTTATTCAAAAAGCATTCGTTCTTTATATAGTAGATGTAGGAACAAAAACAACCCTAATAGGCTATTGTCCAAACAGACTCATATTATAATAGAAAGTCTAAATGAAAATATCAAACTAATTAAGACTCTCATATCTTTTCCTAATTTGACTTATTCTCATAATTAATAAACAAAAACAATAAATAATTATCTTTAACATCTTAGTTTCCTTCCTTGTGATCTTGCCTTCTTCTATACTACTGGCCCGCAAATGCATCCGTAATAGGAAGCAAGCATGCTAACAGCAACATTTGTAGATGCTCGAAATCTTTAATTCTAAGTGGACTACATCGAGACGATATATCATTTTCCATTTGCATAGTTTTGCAAGTGCCATCAAGAATGCAAGTTATTTGTCTTGCTACAACACTCTGAGGTCTCTTATATTTTTTGGGATCTCCCTATTTTTGCTTCCCTTAAAATTCTTAAATGAAGCAACATTAATGGTCATTCTACATATATTATAGTTAGCAACAATTATCTAACTATTACTTAAGAATTCTTTTCATGCAAATATAATCCAAGTATCTAAGGTGTTGCGGAAAGAAATAACAATTGCTGCTAACTAGCAAAATAAGTGGACTAAATGCATAGTTTAAAAGGAGGGGAGAAAGGGGAAATATAAGCAAAGAAAATGAAGTAGACGAAGAAGGTATGGAGAATGGCATTTGTGTGAATGGATCCAGATCCCCTCTTGCTATATCTCCATGTAGGGGTTGCGGTATCAATGAATTTCCCGTCAAGGCACAGCCCAAAGTACTTAAAAAATAGAGAAAAAATGGTCACATAAGAGACCCGTGACATATTCTGCTTGAAGGACATTGGCCCAAAAAGTCCAAATCATTGCCAAGATGGTCAGGCATGCTAAACAAATGGACAATGTCTTTCACAAGAGGATCATAAACCCGTTGATGACGTTAAGTCAATATTGCTTTCGTAAATGATTCTTCATAGAGAGGAGGAATAGACACTGCACTATATCTCAAATGTTTAATCACCTAAAAGGCACCAATCATCAATTTTTATAGAGCAGAAACAATAAAAATCTACTGAACAAAATTAAAGCACTTGTGTAATAAGGGAAAAGTCACAAATGAATTTTCGCATCCAATCACAACCTGATATACATCTTGTTCATTTTCAAGGCAACTTTCCTCATTATGCATGCACAATAAACTCACCTTGTCATAGCATTTGGACTTTGTAATTAATGTATGTGCCCTTTTCAGTCCCATTCCTGGCAACAATTGTAGACAATCACAACCACTGAAAATGCATATCTCAATAAGCATTCACTGACTGCAAAACTCATATCCTTGTTCTGTTGAAGCCTGGAACTCTGAAACTCAACACCTTGCCCATACTTATCCATTTTGAAAATAATCTGAATTTAAAAAGAAAGAAACGGTTAAAGCATCTCAGGAAGCAAAAGAGTGCAAGATTTAACTAAAGCATCCACCTGTTTGCTTATCGCCAAGAAGGTCATTTGGGCATTTGCCTCATAAGGAGCCACAACACACGATACATTCTTCTGCCTTAAGACCTTTCATATGCAATCACATTACTAGAGGTGTTAATATTGGCAATACTAAGAATAATCACGAATGAAATTGCAGAAGAAATTGTTGACAAGAAGATTTGGAAGATGACAAGTATTTCAGTAAATCGAAGACATAAAACAATATATATAGGACTACATAAATGATAACTGACAGTCAAAACATTCAAATGGTAAAAATGAATTCTTCTAGCCAATCCCAAGTCGCTGGAAGTACTGTTTTCAATAAGTTTATTGAGCCCTTGAACTTAAGCTTGATATAGCATCATTTATAAGCCGAACTAAGATGTTAAAAGATAGGTACCATACCTTGCACGCTTGTTCCCTTTGTTCAATCTTCATTGGCAGAAGACCTCCATCCAAGACTAGAATTGGCTTAACACCATAATGCCATAAGAAATTTACTCTATGCATACAATACTCAATATGCCTAAAAAAACATACACAAAATGCAACCATTTTATAAGAATGCATATGAAAAATGTTAGAAATTATATTTGAGTCTAAAGCCCAAGTCCAAGTCCATAGCCTAACTCCAAGTCCATAACCCAAAATCCTAGGCTAGAAAACTCTTCTATAGATTTTTCTCAAGACATCTAGTAAGTCTAGAATTATCTTCTCTACATTTTTCTCAAGACAACTAGCAAGCTTAGAAAAATCTTCAATTCCCACCAAATCTCATTAATGATGTATACTAAATGTATGATTAAGATTTGTTTCCAACTAGTATAAATACCCCTCTCATGTATTTGGTTCATGCAAGAAGTTGAGAAACAAATAATTAGCTATGGAGAGCTAATTAGGAAAAAGAGAGAGTTTCTCTTGAAACTCTTGTTTGAGTGGTGTGAGCTAGAGTGTATGGTGAGAGTATTGTGTATGAATGTGTGTCGGGGATGGAATACTAGAATGATTCAAATTATGCTTTGCACTTGCCATGTATAGTGAATCCTATATATTAGAAATAATCATTCTATATTCAAAGAGTTGTAAGTAGAAGTAGGATGACCTATTGTCCATAGTAAGTGAGTAATTAATGTATGTAAAAATCGTTGAGTGAAATATATTCTTGTATTTTACCCACTAAACATTTTGTTCATCTTTTTACTTAGCCTTTCTCCCAACAAAGTCGTATTAGAGCTTGATTAATTAAAATAAAAAATGATGGTAAATGGAATGCTTCCATTCCAATTTGCTCACCTTACCAAAAATAACTATAATAGTTGGTCAATTCGACTAAAGACTCTTTTAAGCTCACAAGATGGATGAGAGATTATAGAGAAAGGTTATGAGGAGCTTGTCGATGAGGCTTCCTTGATAGTAGGCAAACGGATGTGTTGCACAAGACACGCAAGAAGGATCAACAAGCTCTCTCAATCATCCACTTATGTTTGGATGAGAGCATGTTCCAAACGGTCTCTTCGGAACCACTACTAAGCAAGCATGGGAGATTCTTCAAAAATCTCAATAAGGGGTTAACAAATGAAGAAGATTTGACTTTAAACCTTAAGAGGTGAGTTCAAAATCCTACACATGAATGAATTTGAAAAAATCTTGTATTACATCTCTAGAGTATTAGTCTGTCTCCAACCAACTACAAAGGTATCGAGAAAAGCTAAATAACACTCCTATCATTGAAAAAATTCCTCGTTCCTTGCTTTTAAAATTCGAGCACATCTTAGTGGTAATTGAAAAATGAAAAGATCTAGAATCTATGTCCATTGATGAACTTTTGGGCTCATTAAAAGCTCATGGGGAGAGACATAAAAGAAAGAATCAAGAAGCTTTGGAGCAAGTTCTTTAAAATAAACTCACTTTCAAGAATGAAGAAAGTACTAGTCATCAAACAAGCCACCAAGGTAATGAATAGGGTAGAGGTTGTGGTTATAGTGGAAAAGGAGGTGACAATCAATTCAATCAAAGAAAAATGAGTCAAATCTCATATTCAATAAGAGGTCATAAAAGTGGCAACCCACCAAGGTGAAGGACCGGGGGTTCTCAAGTTCAATGCTACAAATGTCAAAGATATGGACATTATGCTTCGATTGTTAGAGTAAGGCTAGCAACGTTAATGAGAAAGCAAACTTTATGGCAAGCCATGATGAAGAAGAGGTTACATTGCTCATAGAATGACATGATGGAGAAGATGTAAAAGATAATACATGGTATCTCGATACGGGGGTAAGAAATCATATGAGCGAGTAATAAAGGCATGTTCGTGTAACTTAACGAAGAGCATTATAGGTGTCATGATGTTTGGTAATTGTTCTAAAATTTTAGTAAAAGGAAAATGTAAGATACTTATTCTCTTGAAAGATGGAAGGCATAGATTTATTTTTGATGTCTACTATGTGTCCGGTATGAAAAATAATATCTTAAACCTAAGGCAACTTTTTGAAAAGAAATATGAAATTGAATTAAAAAAATAAATATTCCATGATAAGGGATGAGAGAAAAAATTTAATAACCAAAGTGTCAATGATAAGGAATAGGTTATTCTTATTAAATATTGAAAATAATGTTGCTAAATGTCTTAAGGCTTACACAAAATATAATTCTTGGCTTTGGCATTTAAGGTTTAGTCACATAAACTTTGATAATTTAAATTTGCTCTCACAAAAGGAGATGGTAAAAGGATTTCCTTTCATTAATCATCCAAATGAACTATGTGAAGGATGTCTCTTTGGAAAGCAATTTAGAAAAAGCTTTCCAAAAGAAGCCACATACGGAGCGAAACCACTGGAGCTAGTCCATACAACTCGTTATGGTCTAGTCCATCCATGCTCTTACGATAAAAATAAATATTTCATTATCTTTATTGATGACTATAGCCATAAGACTTGGGTATATTTTTTAAAAGAGAAGTCCGAGGTATTCCACATAGTCAAGAAGTTTAAGGCTTTTGTAAAAAATGAGAGTAGCCAAAGAATCAAGGCATTAAGATTCGATAAAGGTAGAGAATTTGCATCAAATGTGTTCAATAAATTTTGTGAAGATAATGGAATTCAGTATCCTCTCATAGTGTTAAGGTCACTACGGTAAAATGGTGTGGGGAAAAGAAAGAAGCATGTTGAAAAGAAAGATAATGCATATAGAATTTTGAACGAAGTAGTTGATTGTTCAATATACACGTTTAACGAGTGTGCCTCCAAGATTCGACCGGATAAGACACCTTTAGAAGCTTGAATGGGAGAAAGCCAAATGCCAAGCATCGATAGGCCTTTGGGAGCATTTTCTATTCACATGTAGCATATGAATTTATCACCAAACTTGACAACAAAAGTTAGAAACTAGTATACATTGGCTACAAAAAAAAAAAAAAAGATCCAAAGGATATAAGTAATACAATCCAATCAACATAAAGATCATTATGAGAAGAGATGTTGAGTTTGATGAAAAAGCATCATGGAATTGGAGTGTCAAAAAGGATGAAGATTATGACTTCTCCTCACGCTTTGAAGATGAAGAGTCATCATAGCAAACACTCGAAGAGATCATCACTCCATCTCAATCCCTTATTCGGATCACTAGTTCAAGGCTTATCACCATCCTCAAGTTTAGGATAAAGCTTAAACAAGAGTGAAAATGAGAAGACCCCCCACTTTAGGAGCTTATAAGAAATTTATGAGTTGATTGAGAACCAAAATGATCAATTTAATCTTTTTTGCCTCTTAGCAGATTATGAGCTTATGGAATTTCAAGAAGTAGCGTGAAGCAAAAAATGAAAAAACACAATGAATTAGGAGATTAATTTGATTATATAGAATGACACATGGGAGTTAACAAGACTTCCCAAAGGGTATAAGACAATCGACGTCAAATGGATCTACAAGACAAAGAGAAATGCTAAAAGGAAGAGTAAAGAGGTATAAGGTAAGATTAGTAGCAAAAGGATACAAATAGAGAGCTGGCATCGATTATGATGAGGTATTTACAACTATTGCTCTATTGAAGACTATAAGACTTATTATTTCTTTAGCAACATAAAATAAATGGAGAATATATCAAATGGATGTGAAGTTAACAATCTTAAATGGTTATCTTAATGAATAAGTCTACATTAAGTCTGCCATTGGGCTATGTGAAGAAAGAGGATGAGCACAAGGTTTTGATATTGAAGAAGATACTCTAAGGATTAAAACAAGCACCAAGAGCTTGATATAGTTACATAGATAAATATTTCCAAGATAATAATTTTTCAAAGTGTTTTCATAAGTATACCTTCTACACCAAACGTATGAAAAAAGATGTCTTGATCGTGTGCCTATATATGGATGACTTAATCTTCACTGGTAACAATTCAAGCTTGTTTAAAGAATTTAAAGGGACCATAACTAAAGAATTTGGAATGACGAGAGATTGGATTGATGTCCTATTATCTTGGCATTGAAGTGAAGTAAGAAGACAATGACATTTTCATTTCTCAAGAAAGTTATGCAAAAGAAATTCACAAGAAATTCAAGATGGAAAACAACTGGCCAATTAGCACGCATGTAGAATATGGAGTCAAGTTATCCAAACAAAGTGAAAGAGAACAAGTAGATCCAACATACTTTAAGAGCTTATTTGAAAGTTCAAATATTTAACATGCATAAGACCTAATATTCTCTTTGGAGTTGGCCTTATAAATTACAACATAGAGAATCTTACTATAACACATCCGAAAGTAGCAAAGATAATTCTTTTTCTCCATCAAAGGCATAATTAACTATGATCCGTTTTATACTTAATCAAAAAATTTTAAGCTTGTGGGCTATAATGATAGTGACTAAGTTGGCGATGCGGATGAAAGAAAAAGCACTACCGGATTTCTCTTCTACCTAGGAGATACAACTTTCACTTGGAGTTCAAAAAACAACCTATTGTCACTCTCTTAAGTTGTGAAGTCGAATATGTTATCGTAACTTTATACGTCCGTCATGTATTTTGGCCGAGGAAATATTCAAAGAGTCGATAATGATATAGAAAGAATCGATAATGATTTATATCGACAATAAGTATGCAATCACATTGGCTAAAAAATCTAGTATTTCATAAATGTAGTAAGCATATTAACACATATTATCTTTTCATTCAAGAATGCATTATAAGAAATAAAGTTTAGGTGAAGTTCATAAAGTCCGAAGATCAAGTTACGGACATTCATTATAAAACCACTCAAGTAAGTAGTATTCTATAGATTATGAAGTTTGCTTGGAATAGCCAAATCAAGTTTAAGGGGCATGTTAGAAATTAAACTTGATTTGGCTCAAAGTCTAAAGCTAAAGTCCAACTTCATAGCCTAAAACCAAAGGCTAGAAAACGCTTTTTAGATTTTTCGAAGACATATAGCAATTCTAAAATTATCTTCTCTAGATTTTTATCAAGACAACTAATAAGCCTAGAAAAATCTTCAACACCCACCTAATCTCATTAATGATGTAGACTAAATGTATGGCTATTTCCAACTAGTATAAATACTCCTTTCAAGTATTTGGTTCATGCAAAAAGTTGAGAACAAATAATTAGTTATAGAGAGCTAATTAGAAAAAAAAAGAGTTTCTCTTGTTTGAGTGGCATGAGCTAAAGTGTGTGATGAGAGTATTATGTATAAGTATGATAGAGATATAATACTAGAATGATTCAAAATATAATTTGCACTTGCCATGTTTACTAAATCTTATGTATAAAAAATAATCATTCTATATTCAAAGAGTTACAAGCAAGAGTGTGGGGACCTATTGTCCTTAGTAAATGAGTGATTAGTGTGTGTAAAGATCTTTGAGTGAAATATTTTATTGTATTTTACCCACCATATATTTTTTTCATCTTTTTAGTTAGTCCTTCTCCCAATAAAGTGGTATCGAGCTTGGTTAATTAAAACCAATAATGATGGCAAATGGAATGCTCCATTCTAATTTTCTCGTCTTACCAAAGACAACTATGATAGTTGGTCGGTTCAACTAAAGACTCTCTTAGGATCACAAGATGCTTGGGAGATTGTAGAGAAAAGTTATAAGGAGCTTACCGATGAGGTTAATAAAACCAAGTGATAGATTGATAAAATGAGAGAGATCAAAACTAAGAGAGAGAGAATGAAAAAATTGAATTTAGTGACATAAAGAGAGTACAAATCTTTAAAAAAAAAAGAAAAGAGTTTTATGGGTTAATAAAACAAAACTATTATATGCAATAGTTCTAAATTGTTGCATAAATGTTTGGTATGTTATAGTTAAATAAAGCTCAACTTGTTTTAAAAAATGTAGTAATTTGAGCAGCAATTTATATGAATCATGTGTTTAATCAAAATTTTAATATAATAGTTTTGAACTATTACCAAACGATTGACATTTATTAATATTAGCAACAAATTTATCGTTCTTAACAAACGCTTGCCTAATATTCAATATGTAGTAGTAATACTTGAGTTTATTTGTTTAATTTAGACAAGTTTTATCATTCCTAACCACCCTTTAAAGTCTAGTATTTAAGAAAACTTTTTGCTTCTTTATAAACGAAGTTTTTTTGCTGAATATATTAAATGAAAATTGAGATTTTTCTCTATTTTTTTTTTGCATGTTCCTTTGCTTGAACTAGCTAGATTTTCATCAAGTACATCTTTAGAATGATCAAAATTTTGATTTATACGAGATTTGAAAGAATAGATGTCAATCTAGATTTAAAGGTGAAGAGATGTTAGCGAGATCACATTATAAGACGAGGTTAAGTCTTAGCTACTTGACATGTTTTTCGTCTATTATCCAAAAAGAAGCCTAAAGCTAGTGAGACTCGATGGCTTAGAAATTTTAGCTTTCCTATTATCTTAATCCCTCTAAAACAAAGGGCTTGGCTCAAGTGGAACCCTCTAGTAAAAAAGATCTATAAATTCAATACGGATGGATCTTTAGTAGAAGGAGTTTGTGGTTGATTAAAGGGAGGCATAGTCAATTAATTGCTTCCTTTTCTAATTATTATGGTGTAGAAATTAGCATGAGAGGGGAAATATATGTTAGTGTAGGTACCCAAGATTCAATTATATTTTGATGGGCTTGAGTTAATGTATTATTTATTTTAAAGAAGTTATTTTATTAATTCTTATGTTTTATGTTTGCAAATTCAATAAAATTAGATAGAAGTCCATATGATATGTATTTGTAATAGCGATTGATCGAAAGATGTGAGATAAACACTAATGCATGTAAATGATATCATTAAACATCCCAAGTCAAAGTATTATGAAGAATAGACATTGACTATATACGAGATAGACTTATGAGTGTTATGCTCGTGCTATATGATAGTAGTAAGAGATCTCACATCTATTGGCATAGTGAGGTTAAAGGAAGCACTTAAATGATTCATGTTAGAGAACATATCACTGAACTTGACTCACTTAAGAACTTATTTGGTTTTAGTCTATGGAAATCTCGTACAAGATGGGAACAAATGGTCTTTAGACTTGAAGTCATCATGGTTGTCTCATTAGAGGACTTATGCATTTTGACACTCATTTCAATTGGCCCATTAAAGGGTTACACATGGGTGATTCATTGGGTGCATTAGGAATCTAATGGAGGTAAATGTATGACTAAGATAAGACATGTAATTCCTTGTATGCTTGAAGGAGCTATCACATTGCACTTCGATAAATATCTCGCTCAAGAAATATATGGCTATAATAGGAGTACACCAATAGAGCATAGTTGGTCACTTCAATTCATAGGGTGCATTAGAAATCTAATAGAGGTAAATGTATGACTAAGATAAGACATATAATTCTTTATATGTCGAAGAAGTTATCACATTGCACTTCGATAAATGTCCGCTAAAAAAATATGTGGCCATAGTAGGAGTACATCAATAGAGCATAGTTGATCACTTCGATTCGTTAGGTGCATTAGAAATCTAATGGAGGTAAGTGTATAACTAAGATAAGACATGTAATTCCTTATATGCTGAAGGAGTTATCACATTGCACTTCGATAAATATTTGCTCAAGAAAATATGTGACCACGAGTAAGAGTGCACCAATAGAGCATAGTTGGTCTACTCTATGAGGTAAGACATTTAGGAAACTTATGCGATCATAATCGAATAAGACTTATAATTAAGTTTGAGATCACACTATGATAAGTTGACATGAGGGCTGAATTATAGGTAACCATGCTCGTGAAAGGTAATAATGAATTAATTATCCTCCGAGAGAATTGAGTAATCATGATGTCTTACTACGGACCAATCTTGATTTATGTATCAAGAGATAAAAAAGAAGTCTTTTGTTCTTGATATATTACCAACATATCTAGGAGCCTATTGAGTCGGATGCATAATTTTAAGTATTCACATGATGACTAAGAAGCAAAGATATTAAAAAAGGTTTCTAATTTTGAAAGTTTTTTGTTTTAGAAAGAGTTTCTAAAATGAAAATTTTTCTAAAATAAAAAGTTTTCTATTTTAGAAATCAGTTTTTTAATTTGAAAATTGGTTCCAAATTTGAAAATAAATAACCTAAAATGAAAATAAGTTTTCCGAATTAGGTTAAAAGGTATTTTGAAAAATTGTTTCATAATGTGAACCCGTCTAAAATAATCTAAAATTATTTATTTGGATATTCCAAATAAATTAATTGAGCTAGAATGATTTTAGCTCATTAGGTTTAATTAAAAGTCTTAAGATATTTTGATAGAAGGATAAACATCAACCTTATTGGATAAGGATGAATGTTTTAAAGATAATGATCAAAAGTCCATATGTGAAATAACTCCTCATCCTTGGAGGATAAGGAAGCAACAACCTAGAGTCTTTTATGGAATCATTTCCACCCCTCTCCTTGTCCTTGAAGAATAAGGAAACTCTCCTATAAATATATAGGAGAGAGGAAGGTGCGGCAATATGATAACACTAAAAACAAGGAAAAAGAGAGAAAAGGAAGAAAAATTCGACCAACCTAAAAACTACTAGGGCACACGACAAAGAGAGGGAAAAAGGGAGAAAATAGTTTTCTCTAAAACTTTAGTATGTCATACTCTTTTCTTCCTTTTAAGGTTATCGCAAAACGCCCAAAAAGATTTCTATAGGAAACACTACACAAATAAAAAAAGGTGGAGCTAAAACCCTACTAATTTTAAGTGCTTCTTTATGGATACTTAGGTCGCATGGATCATCAATAGAGGTCGGATACTTGAATTACTTTTCCGATAAAAGAATTTACATCCGTGCTAGATGAGATAATTCTTTCTTCATTGCTTTAAATTCATGCATGTATGATTAATATATTCAACGGCTTGATCTTGGACCCTTAGATGGAGAAATTTTTTTATTTATTTCGTACATCCGTAGGATGTATGATCCTTCAATAGATGCACTAAGAGATAGAATGAAACTCTATGAGCAACTTTTCTTACAAGGAGTAGAGGTGGAATTAGACTTTTTGATGGCGAGTGAATGTTTTGAATAAGAAAATTAAGGCTCTATGAAAGTACATCACCAATTTTGCTTGTGTCAAAATTTAATATAATTGTCAATATGTCCTTCGTTAGCAAAATAATGTAGTCGATTGTCTAGCTAGTTTAGCTCATAATCATAAATTATTTTTCTCTTTTAATATGTGTTATGACCTTCCTAGAGAGGTTTGTAATGCATTGAGACATGATAGTATTGGTATTTATACATATAGAAAATAATTGATGTACTTGTTTAATTTTTTTGGGTTTAGACTTTTTTGTCCCCCTTACCCTTCGGGGTAAGGCTAGTTTGTCACCCCTCATGTACACTTTTTTTTTTATTAATAAAATTAGTCGTGGTATTGCCCTTGTTTGCTTAAAAAAAAGATAAAAATTGCATATAAGATGTCTTGTGGTGGTGTTTGTTGTATTCACGGGCTTTCTTGGATGAACATATTCGTAAGTTTTTCTTTATCATCTCTTTGGTGGTATTATTTGTATCTTTAAGGGTGAGTCATTGGAACTTGTATTCTTTATTGTTGTGAATTTATCTTAAGAGTATCTACAATAAATCCAAGATGGATTTTTGTCTATTAAACTCCATATTTAGGTAACTAGAATTATTTGATTGGCCTTTACTTGTAAATCACTTTAATTTAACCTTTACTTGGATTAAATATAAAATATAAAAATACAAAGATAGAGGTTTGTTTGTTGATTGAGGGGCTGAATTTTGGGTTTAGATCATTCGACCTAGGGAAAATTTATTAGTGCTTGTGTTTATTTGTATCTTTGAGCTTCTATAGACTTTGTGAATCTCTTAATCCAACATTAGTTTGGTATCGGAGCCGAGGTTGGCTTTCATTGGTGCTTGGTCGATTGTGGAGATGGGAAACACAAAAAAGAGGAGGTAGGGTCGATGATCAAGAGGAGGAATGATTAAGGTATGATGTATTTCGTACTTGATGTACATCTCATGGCAAGGTGTGTAACATGATCATTGATAAAGGGAGTTGTAGGAATTTAGTGTCGACAACAATGGTAGAAAAGTTAAACCTACCAATTGTTTATCACCCCGAACCTTACAATGCGGCTTAGTGGAATAACGATTGTATTATTTGAAAGACAAGTTGCACATGATGGGTTCAAGATCACATACACGTTCACTTTAAAAGGAGAGAATATCACCTTGGTACCCATGAAGAGGACACTTTTGTCCGACAACGAAACTAGCCAAGAAGAGTTAGTTTGGAAGTCAATGTTCTTTAGAATATTGGAGGAGGATAATGGCATCAAAGACGAAAATTTTCAACAAGACATGAGTTTTGAAGCTGAAATTTTCGACAATGATGGTGTCAAAAAAATAGTGAATGAAGCTGATTCTTTGGTTTTGACGACATTCTAAATTCCAATGAGAAGGTTGACGATGGTACATACTATTAGGGAATGAATCAAGAAAGAAAATAGAGTAGAAAGATAAAGATAATCACATAATATAAAAATTTACGTGATTCGATAATTATACTTACTCTACGATCGTATTAGAATTTCTTATTAGGATTTTCTCAAGCAAGACTGCTATATGCATAGTATCCTATGCAAATTACACCTCGATAATTTAACTCTTGCCTTGAAGGTGCCGTTAGTAGACGCTAAAAATTTCAACGACAAGGTCGAAGTTGCTGCTGCTATGACATACCTTGAAGACCTAACCGCTAGTGGGAGTCTAGGGTTGACAGAAACGGAGGGACCATGATACGATGCTTATATGATAAGTCGGTGGACTGGTGTTTCTGTTATAAGGCTTAGCCCGAACAAGAAGGAGATGCTAATTGGGCTTACGAATTGGTTGCATCACAAGATAGAAACGGACTAAAATTTTGCAAGCTGCCAACCTATAAAGAAGGATGTCAAAGACTTCCCAGACGCCGAGATGCCTCATAAGCTACTCTAGAAGCAAGACTTGGGGACAATCAAGTTGGAATTGCAATTTGAGGACAGGATCATGCAGGTAAGCGTGGTTCCCGTAATTGGTGCAATTATCATGCAATTTCAAGAACAAACCAGTTAGGCCATCAATAAGTCTGTGACTGCTAGAAGGGTACTTGTTGGTATGGTGAGCAAAATCAATTTGTTGCGGCATGCTAAGCGTAGCGCTTCCAAGGTTCTCACGATGACAGGTTCAAGGAAGGGTACTGTTATTTTCTTTTCTAGTTTGCTTGGTTAGGCGGCTATCTTGATCAATTTTGTCAAGATGTATGTTTCAACGTTTGGAGTGGACGAGGCTCAGATGATGGTCAAATGCTGGGATGAACCAATGCCTTCAGTTTTTGCTCAAAAGGTCCAAGAACATCCAAATCATGCTAATTGCATTAAATTTGCAGCTGAACAAGCTGGATAGAACCCGATGCAGCAGGCCCTTGATTCTGTGTCATAACCAAAATTCTCTCCTAAAATTATTTGTCATTTCTCTTTTATCTTATCTTTATCTTTATTTTATTTTATTTATTTATTGGTTATATTTACTGTATTGGAATTTAATACAAAAACAGAAAAATAATAAAAAACACAAACAATACAAAAAAATATAAAATACAAAATTTACTACATTAGGGATATAACACTACAAAAAAATGTTTATTTACCGACGGTTTATACCGTCACTAAATGGACAAAAATCATCACTAATTATACATAATGACGGTCAAAAACCGTTGTTAAAACATTTTTCGCAAAATTAATTAGTAACGGTTTTTAGAATTCAATTGCTAATTTAGAGACGGTTTATCGAGTCACTAAAAAATAAAAAAAACGTTCACTAAAAAGCAAAAAAAGCTATCAATTTAGCAATGATTGTCAAAAAACCGTCGATCAATGCTAGATGTAACTTCGTTTAGCAACGATTTACCTAATTGTCACTAATTATGGTAAAATTTAGCTTGGATTTAGCTAAGGTTTTAAAGCATCGTTGAATCAATTTTTTTTTAACGATATTCTCGATCAATTATTTTGTCATTCATATGTCACTAATAAAAAATATAAAATCCAATCCAATTTAGCAATTGCAATAATGGTATGAAATAGAATTATAAAAAATAAGAATCCTTTATGATATATAAAATCCAATTCAATATATATTCAAATACCAAATTATATTAAAGTGTATTAACACTTTAGCCAAAAAAAAAAAAAAGACAACGATAAAAGAAGGTATTGTGATGAAGGGGCTACCTGTGACTTATTAGCATTTTCATCCAACGCATGATGTTCTGTTAGAAGATTGGTGGGTGAATTACCTTTTTGTATATTCAATAACATCCGATACATTATCGCCAACTACTTCGATTATCTTGCTCTAACTTGCCTTGGATTTTCTAGGATCGATGGAGCGGTTCCCTTTAGTTTTCGGATCTTTTCTTTTTTTCTAGCAGTGTTGGCTTCCACTTCCTTTCGATGCACCTCAATATTAACATATATCTACGAGATTGTCGAATTAGAAGATGGATCGACATTTGAGTAATAGTGAGAGGCCTATGACCCAAATTCATACATTCTTTTCCCCTTATTGTCCCTTCCTCTAACATCCTTTTCAAATATCCCATTCATGTCGATGTTAGGTGTTGAAGTACCCTTTATCCCCCGACTAACAATCTTTTCCTCAAATATTTTATCGATGGTGTCCAACATAATTTTTCAAATTTTAATATTAAATAGCAATATGAATAAGTTATATAAAAGTAGCATATGCATGTAATAAGCTTATAAATTACTTACCCTAAAATTTTTTACCGAGTTGATCAATAAAGATGCATTTGTCATCAATCTTTTTTTCGTGAGTCTTCAAAAACACCTCGTGAGCATCGAGTTCAAGACCCCATTTCTTACACTAAAACAAATAAACTTAAATGTATATTAATATTGCAATAATTACACATCATATATATATAATAGGATTTGCTATGCATATTGCATGCTCTTTATGTGTGATCGAACCCCTTGTATGTTTAGATAGGCCGGCCTCGATGCCATCCGTCTTGCTCATGTAGTTCCAAATCGTTTACCGAGATCAAGCCCGAGACTCGGGTTTTGTCCATTTCTTCTATCATACATCCCATATCTCTTATGATACATACATCAAAATATTGCTTGAATGATATATACATGCTTTTCCAATGCTTTAATCGAACTCTCGATCCCACATAAAGAGCTTCGCAAGAACGTTAAAAATATTCATTAGTACATTTAAATGAAGATTAAGCAAATTAATTAAAATTTATTGTCATATAATAAATTAAGCTACTTATTACCTTAAACTCCTCCTTGTAGAACTCTTTAGTTTGCTCAATAATTGACTTCCACATTGTTTCGGAGCGATCAACATTCTCATGGACTATCTTATAGACTCGATGAGAGCACATATCGGATGGATACAATCTATCAAATAAGATAATTAATGATTAAATGAATGCATTAATATTATAATACATTCTAATGAATATTAAAAATATATATATAACACGTACTCCTTGCCATTAAGAAGAGTAATCGAAATGCAAGGATCGTATATAGACTCGATAAGAGAAAAAGATATACCAAAAGTGATGTTTAGCGATGACCTATGTGAAGGTACTCGATGATCGTCCCGTTGGGGCATAGGCCTTAATGACGATGAAGGTTCAAACGTGCCGACATGTGGTCCAAACCGATGGGGCTCGAGTCGAGACATGTCAAAAAATGATGCGTATGACATAAGGGTCGTGGGAGGGAATACACCAAGGTCGAAGGGAGGGGACATGCGACCTAGAGTGAAAGTAAGACTACTCCTACGTCTACAACCACCGGCATCATCGGTGTTTGAACCCCCGACCTTCACCATCCGATGTGGGCTACTACATGCAAGAACGTCTCCTACCCGAGGCATAACCTTCACATTATCACATTAATTAGTTAATCAAACATAAAAACTATAAAAAATCTCTATTACCATAAAAAAGTTAAAATAAATATATTTTTTGATTAACAAATACCTTCATAATTAAATTAAAACATTCACACACACACACACACACACACACACACACACACACACACACACACATACACACACGCACACACATATATATGTTACCTTAACAATTTCAATTAAACCGTGGAGGAGACTTAAACCTTATTACCGATCACTATCTTCGTTATCATTATTATATTTTTCATGTACGGCTTCCTTTACATATATTTCAAATTTAACATCACTCTTTTCATAATTTTATTTCCTTTTAAATCTATCAATAATCCAGTTGGATGATATTGTGTTGGGTTTCGATATCATTCTACTGAAATGGTTTCATATTTTTTTTACCGTAAAAGATAATCCTACCACATCCGTCATCGCCTTTGATTTTACCTTACATACAACAAACCAATCATGCTTGATGCGCATTGAGATAGTATATGTGGCATACTACACTCGATGTGCTTCGTGTTGCTAGGATAAAGTAATCGGATCCGTTCAATCTCCTATGGCTTTATACCTTTACTAGTCCTTACTAATCATGAACCCTTGTAATAATGCCAAGTGAAGTATCATACCAATCGTATTTGAACTATATGGTTCTCTTGATTGATAATGCAAGGATCAAGTTTTAGTATATTAGTCAATCTACCATGTTAGTCATTTTTCTCAACATTGTAATTAACTCTATTTATGCACACTCCACTACACATTATTAAACCATGGCCTTTGGTGTGAAACTTATACCCATTCATAATGTATCCTAGATACAACTTTGCTATTCATAAGGGCCCTTTTACGAGATCTTTAATGTAATGGTCAATGATTAAGTTGGGTTATACATCACTTACCTATAAAGTTGAAATCCATTATTTACTATCGGTATACAATTTCATCATTGCATCTTACTAACAAAACAAATTCAAAAATGATGATACTCACATATTGATAAAACCATGCAAAATCATTTTTAAGTCGAACATCAAGCCGATGCTTCAATACGTCAAGATTACTTTGATGAAGTTGGCTCATAAAATAGCTATCGAAGGAACAATAAATTTAAGATTTTTAATTTCTTTATTATATATAATTGATAATTAATACTATTGAGTATTGAAAATTTTGTTAATTTTAACACTTACTCAATTTAAGGTGTCACCTCATCATAGTTGAATAAAATGTATGTATGAGATGCAAACTTTTCTTCATCTCGTCAACATATGTGATTTTGTTCGACCAAGTGATTGACCTTTTGATTTGAATATAGTAAGCATCCCTTCAATGCCATCACTTGATTCTTGAGCACATTCAAAGTTATTTGGCATTTTTTGATGCCCGGTATTCATATGAGGCTCGAAGTAATATAAATAGAACATTGGTGCTTTTTTTCTTAATATGCATTGCAGATTGACCCTTCAACTCTCATTTTGTTCTTGACATTATTTTTTAGTTTTTGAAGATACTTGCATTATATACCTATGTTAGCTAACAAATATTTTAAAAAAATTTAATCGGGGGTGGTTTAACATCAATTTATTAACTTTTCAAATAGATACATCCACCGATATTATATTGGTCTCGTTATTTTTACTTCATATGCTAAGTGAACTGAAAGATATTTCATTGAGTCGAAGAAACTCGATGGAAATATTTGCTTAAGTTTGCACAAAATTAAAAGTATCTTTATCTCGAGACGCATCAAATCCGTAATGGCTCGACTTGTTACTCAATAAATTTAAAATATATTAAAGGTGTAAGAAAAATATTTCATGAGCATAGAATAATTGTAAATAGGTTGATAGAATATTTGGCATGTTTAGGAAGATTTTTCAATACTCGAATGAATATCTTACCTAAAATTTCAAGCAATTGAAGTTAAATCATGCCAATTGGGCTCAAATTTGATGATTAAAAATAAAAAAGTTCTACGATTAGGAAGTATGAAACATTTGGCCCAAAATGTAAAATTAGGCATTTTTGATCCTTTGGTTTAATTGATGTTCTATGACTTGATTATATGTTAATTAAGTGTGCATTAATGTTTGAAAATGAAAACTTGCATGAATTTTGAAGAAATTTCATAGAAAAGCTTAGGGAAGCGTTCGACACAAATTCCTAATTTTTAGGGTTTTCATTTCTTCACTTAATTCATGAATTATTGGTTAATTAGGAATTGGATAAGTATAATTTGATGAGTGAAAGTGAAAAATTCCCTAAAAATCGAAGGATTTTTCCTAATTTAGTTTAGGCTTAAATTTGACCTATTAAGGCCCAATTAGGTTATATGCATGTATTTAACCTACTAATATGAAATGAGTTAATTCTTGATGCTAATGTGTAATTAAATAGGTATTAGAAATTGGTGATGAATTGAGAAGAAAATAATGAAGTTA